CAGGATCTGTCTTTGGGTATCTGGTTGCCTTAGCAAGGGTTTTTTTTTCCTCTCCCTCCTCTCCACTCCCCATGAGATTTATTTCGTGTATTTATGGGAGCATTGGAAGGAGTAGGGTGGATTGAACAAATGCCACTGAGTACCATTTCCTCTTAACAGTAATATCCAAGATGACTAGAACTTCCTTTATCTCTTCATTTTCTTGAACTACTTTTGGCAGGGCCTGTTATGCACAGAATTTGATAAAAAATTTATTAACATGAAGTTTAAAATTCCAGAATACTGGTTGTCACTCATCAGCCTCAGATCACACAATGCGTAATATATGCCACTTTTTATTAAAGTCTGCATATAAAATTGCTGTTCTGAACAGCTTCAGGTTTCCTTTGGATTTTCTCTGTGATTAAAATACATCCTGCCAACTCCTTTGCTGTGTAGAATTGAGAGTTATGAAATTCAGTTGTTGACCAGAACCTTAGTGTGCTTTACCAGAGGACCTAAAACCAGTTTTCATCTCAGTTCTTAGTTTTAAACTAATATGATGGTTTTATGATTAGTTATGAGATTGTCTAAGCTTGATTAAGCCTTTTTTTAAAAAAAAAAAAAAAAAGGTAGGTTTAATGTTTAAAGGATAGCTGCAAAATAGTTGCATGTAGCTGGATACCTTTTTGTTATTTTGTTAGAAGATTGAAATGTTTCTGGCTAGTAGTGCCATTTACAGAAATTTTCCACTTTTGTTTTTCCTTCTGCTTGGCATCAAGGATAGTGGAATTAAAGGGAGGAAAGAGTACTATCTCATCTGAATTAGCATCTGGGGCCTAACTAATTATGCTCAGTGTCTTTTCATTTAGGTAGTGAAACAGGTTTTCATATTAGCTTTTTGGTTAGGCTTTGTCCTTCCATAGTTCTACCTTCTCCTGATTCTGTGGATATCTCTCCTTTCTTATCTGAGGAGGTGAGGGAGTGTGTTTTAGCAATTCTTTTTATTTAAAAAAAAAAAAAAATAATAATTCCCAGAACATTTTCATAAAGCATCACATTTGACTTTTGTTTCTGGCTTGTAGGTATCCAGGATAAATATTTTAGTTAGAAAACAGTGGAGAAAAGTGATTTAGGTTTTCTTTGTATTTTAATTTGGTTGAAATTGGTGTTCTAAGGCATCTGCTTGAAATGATCCTTTGTACTATTACTGGATCAGAGAATAGCTTGCATTACTTTAATGCAGAATATCTGTTGCTTGGAGCTTGATGCTTCAAGTTTATCATTCCTTCTTGGAATTTTAACTCTAAACTAGTCACACTGAATAAAAATGAGAAGTTCTAAATATTTTGGTTGAGGGAAATGTCTTTGTTGTTAACTAATTTAAACAATTACATTTTAGATATAATTTTAAAGATTCAGTAGATGTAGATTATGTGGGAAATGCAACTACTCAAAGTCTGTAAAGCAAAACTTCCGATATCTTGGGCATTTTATTTTTACACTGTTAATTAAAGTGTAAGATTATTGGCTAAATTATCACATTTATGTAACTCCCAAGGTGTGACTCTTAATTTGCAGTATCTTAGAAAGTCTGACACAGTTTTTAATGACATATTTAAACATGCTGACTTGCGAGTGGCAAAATTCTTACTGCTCTTTTTTATTCCAGGTAGGAGAAGACCAAGAGTGCATCGTCCTCGTTCTCCAATATTGGAAGAAAAAGATATTCCACCCTTGGAGTTTCCTAAATCCTCAGAGGACTTAATGGTGCCTAGTGAGCATATAATGAATGTTATTGCCATCTATGAGGTACTAAGGAACTTTGGCACTGTTTTACGCCTCTCTCCTTTTCGTTTTGAGGACTTCTGTGCTGCTCTGGTAAGTCAAGAGCAGTGCACACTTATGGCAGAGATGCATATAGTGCTTTTAAAAGCAGTTTTACGCGAAGAAGACACTTCAAATACTACCTTTGGACCTGCTGACCTCAAAGATAGCGTTAATTCCACTTTGTATTTCATAGATGGAATGACGTGGCCAGAGGTTCTGCGGGTATATTGTGAGAGTGACAAGGAATACCATCATGTTCTTCCTTACCAAGAGACAGAGGACTATCCTTATGGACCAGTAGAGAATAAAATCAAAGTTCTGCAGTTCTTAGTGGATCAGTTTCTTACAACAAACATTGCACGTGAAGAGTTAATGTCAGAAGGTGTTATTCAGTATGATGATCATTGTAGGGTTTGTCACAAACTTGGGGATTTGCTTTGCTGTGAAACTTGCTCGGCCGTGTACCATTTGGAGTGTGTGAAACCCCCTCTGGAAGAGGTACCAGAAGACGAGTGGCAGTGCGAGGTCTGCGTGGCACATAAGGTGCCTGGAGTGACTGACTGTGTTGCTGAAATCCAAAAAAATAAACCATACATTCGACACGAGCCTATTGGATACGACAGGCACCGACGGAAATACTGGTTCCTGAACAGGAGGATCATTGTGTAAGTGAACGAACCATTTGCTCTTTTCTGAATGGTAATACATTAATATCCTGCAACTTGCTGTTGCCATCTTCAAGTTGTTCTTTGTTTAGATAAGACCATTGCTTGCTGTTTTGTAAGTAGATTTTTAAAGACCATATAATTCATCCATCAGTTTTCTCTGAAATCAGTATTCTCATAATCTGTATATAAAAGGCATGGGGGGGAGCCAGGGCCTCCAGCCTAATATGTGTGCCTAAAACACTAGAATGTGAGGAAAAGAAAGGGAATTTTTATGAGAACTCTCTAGTTTCTTATAAAAGTTAGTTTAGCTCTCTTTGTGATCACATGGTGTATCACATATGGTTGATATACCATCACCTGCTATTTAGTATCTGGCTGTTAGATCCTGGTACTGGTCTGATGGTTTGCCTTTGAAGTTAAGACTTTCAGAGTCATTCAAAGGTCTTCACTATATGTATTAACTAGAAATGCAGCTGTTTTATGGGAGCACTTCTGTAGGTGTAAGTAAAGTCAAACCAGCAAGAAATGCCTGTCTTCAAGTGATCAGCTTTGTGTGTTTAACAATATCCTTTTACTGGTTGATCTTGAGATACATTATTATCCTAAAACATTAACAATAATCAAACCCTTGTTACTGAGGGCATTGTGCCCTGTATTTTACCTGAAGAGTTGAATGTGAAATTGTAAAAATAATTCTAAACTTTTCACAGGAAAATAGCTAAAGACTTTTTTCTTATAAAAGACTGTTCTTATGTAATTGTTCTCATAATGGAGGAAAAATAGTTTGAGTCCTTTAAAATCTGGTGCTCTTGCTCTAGTGTATTGTTAGCTGATGCTTTAAGAATTATCATATTATCACTGTTTTTTTTTTCCTGTGTTCTTCCTTCACACTTGTAAAGTCCATGTTGGACTATTTTTAGTTTCTCTGGATTATGAATGCCACAATAGTGTCAAGTATTCTTTTGAAAGGTACAGGAAATCTTTCATACTTGTTTTTTTTATACTCTGTTCATAGTCAGTCACATGCTCTACAGTATGCTGTGTATCATTTGGGTGGTTAAGAAGGATGTGAGGGTTAGCCTGAAGCTCTTGATACTCTCATTCTTCTATTGCCTCATACATAACTGTCTACCTTCTGTTGCCAGAAAATGAGTTGGAAGTTTGATTTTTCACAAAAAGTCTTGTTGTGAGAAACATGCAACTGATTGATACTCTTTTTGCACTAGTTACCTGTGCTTAATTAACTTACAGATAGTCTGCTCTGGCCATGGATTTTGTATCTTTCCTTTCAAACCCTTGAGGAAAAGGTGGTTCTGGAGATGGGTTTGTCTCACTGCTTTCCTGTACTGGCAGAACAATTTTTTTTTCTGCTTGTCATTAGAGTTTTTAACATTAAAAATTGCAGAGGGTCACTCACTCAGCAGGTGATTTTAAGATGAATGGACAGGCTTTTTTCTCTACCCAAATGTAGACAGATTGGTCATTATTTTTCACTAAACTTGATCTATGAAACAATAGGTTTTTTCCTGAATGAAGTGAAATATTTGTTGTGCAGAAGGTTTTGTTACAGGCAATACTTCAACATATTTTAAGCTAAACTCATACAGGTTCTTTGTGATCCCTTGAAATCTACACATGAGAAGGATCTTCCTGTATCACATTTTAACTGCACTAGAAAAGACATCTTCAAAGGTTAAATGTATTGGGCTTTTTTTAATGATTTTGCATTCCTGTTAGTTGGCTGGACAGATTATTTGTTTCAGAAATCGTACATCAAGTTTTATGTATATCAATTTTGTATCATAATTGAAATTATTTAAAGAGAAAATGCATCAGTATTCTGTTTCAACTCAAAATAGATGAGAACTGTGAACAATACAGCAAAGGAGAATTTTTATTGGATTTTCCATTTTACTGATTTTTTTTTTTTGTTAGTGAATAAAATTTTTCAAAACAAATAGAACAGTATGTTTACAAAGACAAGAAGAAATGCAGTTCATGCATTAATGGTTTCCTGAATTTATTCCATATTCTCATGTGGATCATCTAGGTTGAAAGATTCTTTTCCTGCTGTCATTGGACATCATGTGTTCCACTAGTTGTACCTGTGCGTGCTTCCAAAACAAGTTCTTTATGAAGTATGTGGTTTGGATTACAGATTTTTTCAAATCCTCCTGATGGAATGGAAGAAGAAGCAGATAGACAGTTGTTCTGGTAGATCTACAGCTGCAGTACTCTTTAACAGTGTTAAGGAAATACAACTTCAATAATTTGCATGGATATTAAACTCTGTGCTTTCAGGTTTATTGTCCCTTAGGTTCAGTAAGTGTGCTCATCTATTGCAAAACCATTTCTTATATGTGCTGGACAGGATCAAACCACACCTGATGTCTTGGCTGACTGAACGACAGCTTTTAAAGGATAACTGCCAAATGCTAAAACCTGAGATACATGAAATTATATTATCATATCAGCTTTATTAAAATGAACAGAGTGTATTCAACCAATGCCATGTGATCAAATGAACCAGAGGAAACTAATAGGTCAAAAAATAATCTGCACAAACACCAATTTGAAATCTTGCCCAGGGGGATTAGAGAACTGAAATCCTCAATTCTTGTGATTTTTTTGTTGTTTTTCAAAGGGGTTTCATATCAAGAGAAATTCTATGCTCAAAACCCTATTTATATAGAGTAGAAGGGAAATAAAACACTTCTGGATAACCTTATTGTCCATTTCTAGGATGTTGTCTGAGCAGTTCTTAAATGTGTAGGAGTGGAACCACACATGGAAAGGTTAATTAGTTCCATAGGGTCAAATGATTGTCAATATTGAGCTGTTACTTTTTGACCTGTTGTATGTGGGCAGTCTTCCTGAAATGAGCTGTTTGCTACAAAAACTTGTCAAACTTACCCTTGCTAATCTGTTAAAACTAATAAACTCAGTTACTGGTAGCCTAGAGGAGTAACTGGGTAAAGTAGAATTAGTTGCTTTTCATGACCTTTATGAGAGAAATGATGGTATTTCTTTGCAATACATTAAGTTTTCTCATCAAAACCAAAAGTCAGTGTTTTGTAGTAATGGTTGTGAGAAAAAAGTAGTTGAATTTTGAGTCATGTTGTCATTGTTAACTTCATAAGCACCATATTTTAGTAGCATTCTGACTGAGAGCAAATATTACAGTTGTTTGATAAACAGAGTGTGGAAAATAGTAGACAGATGACAATCAAGTTGCTTTATGGTCATGCACAACCCTTGATCTTTTCAAAGGGTTGTATTATCATTCTTTTGTCCCTTACTAGCACTCTCAGAGATTAATACCATTAAGATATAAAATAATAACAAAAATAAACTAAAATAAAAAATTTTACCCATGTCACGTTCTAGACTTCGAATTTCCCAACTTTGCTGTTTCCTGAGTACACAGTCAGAAACTCAACCCTTGAAGGATTCTGGAGCTGTACCCTCTTTCATTGTAAATTGAGACTTGGTGGTAGATTACTGGTTACAGTAATGGTAAATGTAATGAGAAGAAATGTTGTTGCTAGATTGGACAAACCAGTTTTAAGGAGACTCTTCAAAAGCTTTCCTGAGGAATTGTCATGAAAACTTCTGAGGGGATTGAAAAAAGGGAGAGAAGTGAGAAAGGAGTATTTGGGTACTAAATTAGCTGTATATGAATGTCCTCATGTGTGATTTGTTTATTCATCTTCATGTGTTGGCATTTAATAGTTCTCTGCAAAAAAGCAGGCTGATACTAATTTTTGTCTATTACTTAAATATTTAAAAAGTAATGGTTTTTTAAATGCTCCAACAGAGAGGAAGATTCAGAAAGTGAGAAAGATAAGAAGATCTGGTACTATAGCACAAAGATACAGCTGGCAGAGTTAATTGAATGCCTAGACAAAGATTACTGGGAAGCTGACCTATGCAAAACTCTGGAAGAAATGCGTGAAGAAATTCATCGGCACATGGATGTGACAGAGGACCTGACCAATAAAGCAAGGGGCAACAACAAGTCTTTCCTTTCTGCAGCAAATGGTAAGGATGCTTGGTTTAATAGGACTTGCCCTTTGAATCAAACACTAATTTCTACTTACTGTATTATAAGGAGTTTATAGAAGTTGATGGAGAAGCATCATGCAGGTACCAGCATGGCTATATAAATGCTGACTTCTTGTAGGACTGCATGTTGTGTGTTCCAGGATGTCCTCAGTGCTCCAGGTTCTTGATATGCTTAAAGTGTGGCAGGTTGTGATCATTGTAGGTGTTTGGTGGAGCTGTGCTAAGTCTGAAGTGTTTCTTGGTGTACGGTCTTCTACCTCTGTCTATCTATATGTCTACAGCTCTTCATAAATGTTTAACAGTCCAGCTGGAGTTGGATATTAGAGCTCCAGGATTTGCCTCAGTATTATGGAAAGTGTGCAAGAATGAGTACCTCCTGCAGTTCCTCACCAACTTAATTAATCTGCCTTGCAGCAATAAATAACAATATAAATCTGAACGTTTGAACTTTGGTTATGGGGAAGATGTGAAGATTAGATATTCAGGTTTAAAAATAGATTTAAGTCATCACTATATAAATGCATAACTGAGAAATCAATAATTAAACCTTTGAAATTGTTTCTTCTAAGTGGGGAAAGGTAATGAGAAATTGGATGTTACCTTTTGTCTCATTGAAAAGAAGTAGTATTTATGTCATGTTATTTCTGCTTAGTGGCTCTGTAAGTGGTGGTCTGTTGTTTATTGATGACAACATACTTTCTATTGTAGATGAAATTCTGGATATTATCAGAGCAAGAAAAGGAGAAATAGTGGAAGATAAAAACACAGCAGATGATGAAGCAGAAAAAGCCAAAAGTGATGTTGATAATGACCAGACAGATGCTGAGAGGGACAAGGAAGAATCTGGAGACCAAGATAAAACTGAGGAAACACCTGCTGAGCAAGATGTGGAAAACGTGAAAATAGAAGGTAAAGAAACTGACTGTAAAGTGAATCTTTTCTTGAGATCTTAACATTTAAATGTTAATATAATTTTTTCTTTTATGATTCTTTAAGTTGTTTGGTTTTTTTAAGTAACAGGTGATATTTGTCAGTTCCTTTGTGGCCATGTTTTATAATTGTTTTTCTTCCTAAGTAATTTCACCGATTTTCCTACTTTTCAAGTTAAATACAGGTAGCTTGTAGATACCTTGGCTTGAGATCTTGAGGTGTACGTGGTTCTTGTTGGTTGTGATCAATGTTTTTAGGAAGCAATATTACAAAATCTTTAACTCACCAGAATTAAATAGTTTATTCTTTGATGCCCAGACAATGCTCAATACAAAAAAAAAAAGGAAGAGGAAGAAGTTCAATATTTTTCAGCATGATCAAGCAGACAAACAAAGCTGCTGAAGTTGGTTTCTATGGATGATGCCAAATGACATCCTAAGACATCATAAAGAATATCCCTAAAGTTTTGTTGTGCATTTTACTATAGAGGCAACAGTCGTTGGGGATAAAAGTAACTCTGTGACAGCAAGCACTGATGACAGCAACACAAATCCTTCTGCAGGAGAGACTAGTTGCTCTGAAGGGAAGAATGCAATGGGGTGTCAGTCAGAAACCCTTGATAGCAACAACGTGGCAGAGAAGAAGGTGGCATCAGAGCTCCCTCAGGAACTCTCAGGTACAGAAGGCACTGTTACAAATGCCTCTGTAATTTGGGGAATCTGTTCAGTTTTTCTATCTGGTTTGTCCACTAAACCATTCACAGCGTTTATCACTCATGCTGTTTGCTTGCAGTGCCATCCTTTACTGCTACGTTGTCATTAACATTTCAAAGTTAATTTTCTTGCAACTAGTGCTTGAAATTTGTGGCCCTCTGTGGCATTAGCATTTGTTTCCATGCCTTCCAAAGATGACTATGGCTAAGCTTTTTGTGTTCTGTTTTCTGTATATTTTGTTTTTCCATAGTGATCCATAATGATTCTTAGCATCCTATCAAAGTTTATTTCAAATTCTAATTTGCTGCTGGCTTGTTAATTATTTTAACCTCTCATTTACTGTTTAAAGTACTAACAAAAAAAAGTATTTTCATTCACCTGAGTAAATCATTGCACTGAAATGTCAAGATTAAAATTGTCATTTTAAACAGATTTCAGAATTATAAGCACAGAGGCTCTTGTTGTATTTTAACATGTTTTGTTCTACCGTGTCAGTGATTCAAAAGTAGTAATATTTAACTATTAAAAATAAACCTCCTAACTTCAGATTTAGGAATAAATCAGACTTGATCAGGTGTAACATAAATTAACAGTGTACTATTTTAGAAATATGTAATATTAAATTTAGAATTATATTATGTGCTTTACTACATACCAAATGTAATTCTAAATATCTGATTACTGCTAAAATGATGAGTTTTATTTAGTGTTTTCAAAAATCTAAGTGTGATGTAGCTGTACTTGGTGTGTTATGTTTTAAAAAGTGGTAGTAAATGTTTTCTCTCCAACAGAAATAGTTCTCTATTCAGTCACAGATTGCAGTCCTTGAACTTGCAAATGTGAATGCATCCAAACCTTGTAATAAAGTTAAAATTAAGATTAATCCGTGACGTGGAATCCTCATAATACACTTCTCTAATACATGAGATGTCCTAGTGCATGGGGCAGAAAGCATATACTTTAGATATTTGACCAAATATTTTTTGTCTGTTCTCATATTTTTTTTAAACATAATATTTTAGAGTTCTAACCTGCATAGGAGTTTAATGGAAAACAATATATGTCCTATAACTTTGTTCCAGACACATTTCTAGGTTTATATACTACATTAAAGATTCATGTATATATTTTTCATTAGTTCTTTATTATACTTCCACAAGTACTTTTCTCCTTCCAAAGGTTCTAGTTTATTTTTAAATTAGTGGGGCTTTTTTATAGGGAAGTGTGTGTGTGTGTAGAGGTTTTTTCCTCAAGTCTAATTTACTGTATTCATAGTGATACTGTGTTCCTACTATGAAACACGTTTGAGACACTCATTTCAGAGGAACAGAGAGATACAGAATAGGTATCACTGAGGCAGCTACCCTTGAAGACGGGGAAAATAAGAGTAAAATGCAAAGCTAGGTGAGAATGTGTCTGTCACCATCCTCAGCAGGCACTGCAAATAGTTCAGTTTTTTCTCTTAGTGAAAAAGGAACTGATGGTGATCATCCACTTGGCAAAGCCAGCAATCAAACTGCATTCAGGTTAAGGACCTAAAAATCCCAGAATCATCTAATCTAACCTAATCATCTTTCTGCTAGCAGTGAATATTTCACAAAAAGGATGTTTTCTTCCATCACCTTTCTTAATAACAACAGAATCCCTGATGTTTTGGAAGAATTCCAGAAACAGAAAAATTCTGTGTTTTTTAAAACAGCTAAGCTGTGTCTCCTTTGCACAGAATCAAGATGATGTTTTGAAGATGGTGGCTTGGGAAGCTGGAGTTATTTATTTCTAGGTAGCTGCACTTCACTGGAGCTGGAGTCAAGCTCATACTCATGTAGTAAGCCTTAGCAACAAGTGAGAGGGCAATAATGTCCCCAGCTGTCATGACAGTAACAAGGACAACTGAGGACCAAGAACTCACTTGTTTCACTGAACTTGAAGCAACATCTAGATCCATCAGATAGTGAGAAAGAGACTGTAAACTTAGAGGCGTGAGTTTAGATGTAGAGTGATGCAACTGAACTGAAATCTGTAATTCCTCAAAATTCATGTGCTAAATAGGAGACAAATACAGGGTAGCAAATTGAAGGGGGATTGAAAGGTGTGTTCTTTGAGGAACAGGTAAGGCTTTGAAAAATCAAAAGAGAAAGTCATACAAGTTGCAGAGAGACCAAATTTGATGAAATCTGCATTCTAAAACCAAAATAAAGTCTCAGGAGAGGGTTCTCTGTGTGCATCTATAGGAGAAAAAAAATGGTCTTGTATTTTAAAATGTTTGTATTTCATGCAAGTGTGAAACATCTATAGGAGAAAAAAAATGGTCTTGCATGAAATACAAACGTTTTAAAATACAAGTGTGAATTCCACTGTTTCAGATATGTAAAAGTTGAAACTGCTTCAAATGGACCAAAACAATACTTTCGTGGATGATACTTTTCAAGATGTTAATCTGACTTTATTAATGAAAAATTTAAAACTGAAAGAAAAAAATTGCATTGATCCAGTTTAAAAGAAAAACTAAAAATGGAGTTGTTCTTTTGTAGAAGAAACTGGTCAGATGATCCCTAGCAGCAGCAGCAGTGCATGTGCTGCACCTCTACAGTCAGACGTTGAAAACAGCAACGGCAGCGAGCTGGGCTCTGGGCAGAATGACTTCATTAAGACTCCTGATGATGCTGAAAATGCAGAGAGGGGATCTCAGACTTCAGAGGACATAGGTAATAACACTAATAACAGTGTCTTTAACTTGAATTTTATGCATATTTGATTCTTTTGCTTTGTACCTCCTAGACATCAATATAAAAGTGTTTTGAGTTTGTTTTAAAAGCCTTTTCTTCTTGGGCAGGAGAGAAGTCTAATGGTGAAAGAAGCGACTCTCCAGGTGCAGGGAGGGGCCCAGGTTCCACACGAATGCTCACAAGGCTACGAAATCCAGACAGCAAGCTGAGCCAGATGAAAAGCCAGCAAGTTGCTGCTGCAGCTCACGAAGCAAATAAGTTATATAAAGAAGGCAGAGAGGTTTGTGCACAACTTGGAAAACTCAAAGAAGTACGAAAACTGTTTTAGAAAACTGATAATATTTTTGTGTTTTAAATAAAAAACATTCTTTCAGAGGTACTTAAGAATAAAAGTGGTTATAATAAAATAGCAAATAGTGAAGGTGTAATATCACAGAAAGCTTTTTTTTCCTCCTCCTTTGTTCTCTTGGTTGGTGTGTACAGAGTGATGTGACAGTGACCCAGTGCATCTCCTTTCCTTTACTGTCCTTGTCATAAAATGCTACAGTGCCAGTAATATGTTATATGTGTTTTCTCCCATGTCTGTCTTTAAATCTCTCAGAACTGGTGTGTCAAAGCTACAACTTTACAGTAGTTTCTGTTTGTCGGTTTTTTGAAGAGCTGTGGAATAGCCACATTTCATGACAAATCTGTACTAGCAGAGTATGGTCATTTAAAGACAGTCATTGCAAAACTGCAGCACTGCTTCATGCAGACAGAAGTCAAATCTCTCAAATATCTGCTAGCTGGTAGATTTTTTTTTTTTTTTTTTTTTTGTATGGCTGTAGGCTGTCATTTTTTGGTGTCTTGTTTTCTTTTTATGTTGGGTTTTTTGGTTTCATTTGTTTTTTTAAGTAGTCTAATTTCTCCAGGAAAGAAGTGCTTGAGTGTTAAGAATTCGTTGCAGTTAGGTGTATGTGTATTGTTCAGTATATTAATTTTAGTTTTGTTAACCAGTTTTCCTTGTAAGTTAACGTATTTACCCACAAACCTCTCAAACTTGGAACACAGTTATAAGTAATAAGACCAATGATGTTATCCATGCCACGTTTTCAAAGTCAAGGATACATGTTTGCTTAGCTACATGTATGCATTCTGTGGTGTACCAAGGAGGGGTTTCACAGAGAGCCTACTTAAGTTTAATGAAGCTGTTTGCCCAGAGCTGTCTCCCTCAATATGTATAATTCAGAGCAGGAGAATGGGTTCCTGTTTGTCTTCCTGGGGAGCCTGGATAGTGGATTTTCTCATGTTGAAGTTGATCTTTAGGAATATCCTAAAGATATTACAATATCTTTACAATCAATGAAGTGCATATATTCGGTATATTGGATACATATTTTTTTTTTTGCTTCTGCAAACTGCTTCAGCAGGTTTTTAAAATTATTTGATATATAGCCAGTTGAAGCCTAAATCATTAGTGAGTAAACAGAAATACTTGAAACTTAGGTGAATCCTTAAAACGATTCTTTCTTTCCCAAGGTTCTGGTGGTCAACTCTCAAGGTGAAGTCTCCCGAATGAACACAAAGAGGGAGGTTGTGATGAAAGGAAATCTCAACAATTACTTCAAGTTAGGGCAAGAGGGGAAGTACCGTGTTTATCATAATCAGTATGCCACTAATTCATTCGCGTTGAACAAGCACCAGCACAGGGAGGACCATGACAAGAGGCGACACCTCTCACATAAATTCTGCCTGACTCCTGCTGGCGAGTTCAAATGGAACGGGTCTGTACATGGGTCCAAAGTTCTCACCATATCCACTTTGAGGCTAACTATTATTCAGCTAGAAAACAATATCCCGGCATCATTCCTTCACCCTAACTGGGCTTCCCACAGGTAAATTGATAAATGAAACTATATATTCTTTTGTTATACTTGTGGTTTTGATAAAAGTATTAATAAGCGATGGTCTTCGTTTTTTTAAATCAGTGATTTTGAGGCACTGTGCTTCAGTGTATTAAAATATAAGATAATATGCATGTGTTTTGTGATAGATGGCTAAAAGGATTGCACACTTGAGGAAAATATTAAAATAGAGATGGTTTTATCCTACCATTAAATCCTGTTAACGTAGCCTGCTATATTAGTGCATGTATATGTTTCAGGTTTTCCTCTTTTTCCAATGTAGGTCTAACTGGATTAAGGCTGTTCAGATGTGCAGCAAACCTCGAGAATTTGCACTAGCACTGGCTATATTGGAATGTGCAATTAAACCAGTTGTCATGCTGCCAATCTGGCGGGAATCCTTGGGGCACACTAGGTAATAAACATAAAAATATTTCTGAATATGAGTTAACTTTGTTTCACAATTACTAGTTCCTCTAAGCCTATATGAATTATGTTTAAATTTAGTCAGTCATCCAGCACTTGGAGTGTTTTCTCTTAGCCAGAAACACTGAAAATAGATTTTAAGATTTTTATAGTGTCATTGCTCCTGCAAAGCAAGTTTTCCTTTAGCTGAGCTACAGTCCAAAGATGACAAAACTCTGGGAGACCAGAAGAGCAAATTTCTACACACTAAGTTCAGTGGAGTCTGTCTTTTGTCTCTCATTGTGTCATAGAAGCAGAAATGAGATGTCTGATGTTAGACACAGTTGCAGGTGGCTGTAGGTTGCAGGTGGAATGTGCTTTACTGGAATAGCCAAAAAAATAGTGCTCCCATTGCAAGTAATATATATAACTTGATACTGGGCATTCTTCTTAACTTCAGATATTTTAAGTTCTTTACAGAGGTTGTAGGTGCTGTTCTTTGTCTTACATTTGCTTATAAGATCCTGTACTTAAATGCACTTAAATCTGTGTGGTTTAGATTACGCAGAATGACAGCATTAGAAAGAGAAGAAAAGGAAAAAGTGAAAAAAAAAGAGAGGAAACAAGAAGAAGAAGAAACAATGCAGCAAGCTACATGGGTGAAATACACATTTCCTGTCAAACATCAGGTAAGCTTCTATTTTTTGTGAAGATCAAACAAAATACAGAAATTGTTTTCTTAGTCATCTGTTTTAATTTTAAACTTAGTTTATATGTCATTGTGTTACTCTCTGCCATTGGCATAGGAACCATGCACACGTATTGAAGCACGTAATCTTGATCTGAACTAAATTTGACATGTATTATGCTCTTAGTGACCCTGCCTGTGTTGACAGATGTTTGTCTGCAAAAGGCAGCTTTTCCTAATGGAAGGGTTCTAGGTGGTTACTGGAATCTTGTCTGTATGTCTGTCCTTGTCCAGTGCTCTGTTTCCATTCCCACACCCCTTAAAAAAAAAAATAATTCAAGCCTAGCTACCTTTACTTTGGAGAATTATATAATATGATGGGAACTACTGTAGAAACCTCTCTATATTCTTCTATATTAAACACTACATACTTCTCTTGGAGTGGTTATGTGCTCTAAATTCATTTATTGTAACAAACACACAGGTTTGTCCAATCTTTCAGCTTTTAGGTAAATAGATTCTCACTGTTACATGAAATAAATAGAGTTTTTAGATGTTACTGTGATAGAATCAATTAATTTGTCCGCAGATACATCTTTAAGTTAGCACTTTATTTCACAAATATACTTCAATTTACTTGAAAAAGTCTGTAAATTTAAAGTTTTGATATTTTTTTACCATCTTAACTTTTTCAACAAATGTATACATTAATAATGCAGCAAATAGCACATTAAAACTACCGTGTTAAAAAACATTTAACAGGTTTGGAAACAAAAAGGAGAGGAATATAGAGTAACGGGATATGGTGGCTGGAGCTGGATTAGTAAAACACATGTCCACAGGTTTATGCCCAAACTACCTGGAAATACTAATGCAAATTACAGAAAGTTGCTACCAAGTAAGTGTCTTTACACTACCATAGCTTATATTTTTTAAAAAAAGTTATTAACGTATTGTTTTTTGTTGCTTTTTCAGTTAGTTAATTACATGTTACATTTTTTATGCAGACTTTGTTACAGAGAATGTCCCAGATAAGCTTTTGTGGATATCTGCTAATCTTTGTCAGTACAACCAGTTTAGTTGTCACAGACATTTTATGGTTATAATAGATAAAAATGAAGTTATTTTTTGCTTGTGATTATCTGCATCTAAAATATTGGTGTTTATGTATACACTTTCTCCCTCCCTGTTAACAGAATACTATTAATCCATTTTATATGGGAGCAATAGTTTTATAAGGGGAAAGAAATGTATTTATCTAGAAAGTTCAAAACTCTCCTCCTTACTTATTTGTTCCAAGGATTTATATTATCTCTATTTTTTTAATTCAGTATTGCACTAGGCTTAATCTATGATGTTAGCATTGTATAATTCACTCTGTTTCTGAATTTCAGTAATGATGTGTGAATGATTTGAGAGGTGAACTAACAATGTTAAAATGTAGCAGACTATAAAAAATACTCTAATTGAAACATTTCATTAATTTGTTAATAGCAAAGAGTGAGGATGAAAAATGCAGCTTGGATAAAAGAAAAGGTCCATCTAAGGTAAAAACAGAGAAAGATAAAGCAAAGGATTCTCATGACCTACAAACAAAAGACAAAGCAGATGTTCCAGAACCCTTGGAGAAAGTACAAGTGAAAGAAGAGAAGTCAAGTGAAGAAAAAGTTGAAGTTGATACAATTTCTGAAAGCTTGGATCCTGCAAAAGACAAAGGTGATATACTTCATTTATTGTAAAACTAGCTCTTCATTACAACATTGCATGTGTAAAAGCAATGAGACCTCAGAAATAACTTACTGAAAAACTGTGTAACAGATTTTGTCAAGACATTGAAAGTGTTTCAGTTAAATAATTGCATATTATCCCATGTAGTAGTGTCTGATGGATGTTTCCTTTTTCTTGAAGACTAATAATATACTAAAAGATCCATTTATTTCTTAGTACTTAATGTTAAAAAATAGTTTAGTATTCATTGTTAGGGGATCTTACTGATTCTGAGTTATTTCTTCTTCACAGCAGAAAAAGAAACTGATGGTGAAAATGATAAAGTCATCAAGGAAGAACCTATGGATGTAGATGATGTGAAAATTGAATCCCCCATAAAAGAAGAGGATAGTCATTGTAAGCTGGATATAATCAATGTCAGTGAGGGATTTCATTTAAGGACTTGTTACAAAAGGAAAGTAAAATCATCAAAATTAGATGGACTGCTTGAGAGGCGAATAAGACAATTTACACTGGAAGAAAAGCAACGTCTAGAAAGGATGAAACTGGAGGCTAGTGCAAAAACTGGAGGCATTCGAACTGTGAGCCCCCAGAAAAGCACAGATGAGCTACAAATGAGAAAAGTGAAAGAAGGAAGCCAGTTTAACGAGTCTTCCCAAGATCAAACGTATATTTCAGATAAGACCCAAACCGAAGATGCAGAACAGGACTGCTTGCCTATCAGCAGCACCTCCTGTACCAAAGCTGGTGGGCTAGATGAACCATCTTTGCATTTGACAAACAGGCTGTCAAAAGGTGAAGGCCAGCTGCTTGATGGAGACTCACCTCAATCCTCTGAAGGTGAAAACTCCATTCAGAATGATAGTAAAGAAAACAACCCTGAACCTATGGCTGCTGATAAGTGTCAAGGACAAGAGGCCCTTGAGGAGTCTGAGGGTTCCTTTGTGGATGGCTTGAAACAAAAAAATGCAGAAGGTAGTATCAAATGGGATGTTTCAGAAAAAAGTGAAAAACCTTTGAAACAAAAACTACTACCTGTTACCAGAGTATCTCAGTGTGAATATGAAAACTTGAAGGCAGAGGTAACCGAAAGCAGTGGTAGGAAAGGTGCTCTGGCCACTCCTGAGCAAATTGACTTGACAGAGAATTCTGAACAGCAGAGCGAAGATCCAGAAAACGATTGTATGATAGAAAGCCATACTGAACCAACATCCTCTCAAGAAAGTGAAATGGAGGAAGAAATTGCTCCAGGAAAGGCTGAAAGTAAATCTGGGAAGAAGATTCTATTTCACCAAAAATTGGTTAATAAAGATCTAGAACCGTTTAAAACAGAGCTGGTTTCTGAAAGAAACCTTGAAAGTCAAACTCTGGAACACATGGATGGGGCAGATGTTGATGAGGATTTACTGAGCTCTAAACTAACTGAGGCTAATGGTCAAAAGAAAGATCAGGAACTGGAAGTGGAGGCAAGTACTATAAATAAGCATCTTGATCAGACAAATCAAAATAGTGTTACTGACAAAAAGAATAATAAAGATGAAGAAACTGAGACACAAAAAGAAAAATCAGCTTTTCAAATGAATGGAAAAGACAATGACATTAAAGTAATAACAAAGGAGGACTGCTTAGTTAAAGACACCTGTGAAACTAAGGCAGGGGGTGATATTGAACCAAAAGTCAATAATATTAATAAATCTGTTCCAGAACATGAAATAAAACCGTTTACTTTTAAGGAATCTTCAGTGAAACCATTCATGAATGGTGACATCATGGTAGAGGACACAAAGGAGAAAAATAATGTGGACCCTAAGTTACATGTGCAGAATTCACCCGAGTTAGAATCTGGAGAGGGTCTTCAGCCACCAGATGAGGTTCCCAAGTATGTGCAGAAAACTGAGGAAAAACAGCTTTATCCTGAGAGATCTGCCTTTGTTGGCACTGCTGCCACGCCAACACATGCTGCCTGTAAAGAAAATAACCTGAATAGTGAAATGGAATCTATGGAAACTGAAGCAATTGAGGATAAGAAAGTTGCTGTGTCGCCTGTAACCTCATGTGAGGAATCTAGCTTGAGTAGTGACTTTGCTGATCAGAATGGTGTACAGACATATAAAACAGGAAATGTTAATGGAGAAAGTAAAATTAAAACTGTTATTACTGAAGTGACTACCACTACATCAACTGTGTCTACAGAATCCAAAACTGTTTTTAAAGTTGCAGAGACTGTAGCTTCTAACGACGAGAAAACAACGGTAGTGTCATCTACAGAAAATTGTGCCATATCCACTGTAACAACCACCACTACTGTAACTAAGCTCAGCACTCCAGCTACAGACAGCAACGTTGATGTCATTTCTGTACAGGAGCATAGTAAAACAGTGGTTACAACAACAGTAACTGATTCACTCACCACCCCAGAAGGCACACTGGTGACTTCCATGACTGTCAGCAAGGAATATTCTACAAAAGACAAAGTGAAGTTAATGAAATTTGCAAGACCCAAGAAAACTCGTTCTGGAACTGCCTTACCATCTTACAGGAAATTTGTCACCAAAAGCAGTAAAAAAAGCATATTTGTTTTACCCAATGATGACTTAAAGAAGCTGGCCAGAAAAGGAGGGATCCGAGAAGTTCCCTATTTCAATTACAACGCAAAGCCTGCCCTGGATATCTGGCCCTATCCATCCCCAAGGCCAACTTTTGGGATCACTTGGAGGTACATACTTTACATTTTTGAGGAAATGTTAAGGTTGTCATAAAATTAATTGGATTTTAAAATACAAAAATTTGCCCAAACATGAAGATTTTGCTATTTATTACTCAATTTTCTGTACTGTGCAATAAGGGAGAATGGAAAACCTTCGTCCCATTGGCTTGGCTAGGTATTTTAGGTATGCTTTGATTTTAAAATGTAATTAATTCTCTGTTGTTAGGTACCGCCTTCAAACAGTGAAATCATTGGCTGGCGTGAGCCTTATGTTGCGGTTACTGTGGGCATGTCTCAAATGGGATGATATGGCAGCAAAAGCCCCTCCTGGGGGAGGAACTACACGTACAGGTATTATTTCTTTAAATTTCTGATTTTCCCCATGCAAAAATTCTTGCTGTTCATTTGGAGTATCACACTCATTCCGAGCCTTTCTGTAAAGGCTTGATGTTAGCTATGGCATTTGAAGTTTTTAGAGCAGTTTGTGCTAGTTGCTTTTTCTTTACCTTTGATATATTGGGTTGATTGGAGATTTAGCTTTTATTTGTTTTCTGTTATTAATGTATTGGGACTAATTTGTTGTAGAAACGTCTGAAACTGAAATTACAACAACAGAAATAATCAAGCGGAGAGATGTTGGTCCCTATGGAATCCGGTCAGAGTACTGTATAAGAAAAATTATTTGTCCCATTGGTGTACCAGAGGCTCCCAAAGGTATGTTGGTTTATACTTTTTTTTTTTTCCCTCTTGCCATAAGCTCCTACAGAAGTTAAGGTAACTAACTCTCTGTTAATTTAGACCCTTAAGGGAGCAAATATCGTTTGACATGAACTATTCATTCACCTATTTGAAACAAATGATACATTTTAACAAAGTGACATCATCTGTCTGTAGCTGGAGGACCTTCCTGTTTATAGAGTGAGACTGAAAGAGACACTAAATCTTGGTTTACACTTAATTTTGTGTTATGATCAAGCTTAACATCTGTGTCTTGACTGTTCTCTAAAGAAACTCCAACACCCCAGAGGAAGGGACTGCGATCCAGTGCACTAAGGCCAAAAAGGCCAGAAACACCCAAGCAAACAGGCCCTGTTGTAATTGAAAGCTGGGTAGCAGAAGAAGAATTGGAACTATGGGAGATCAGGGCATTTGCTGAAAGGTAAATGAACTCACATGAGCTTTTAAAGAAAGCAGTTGTAATCTGTATGTGTACCTTAAATGAAAGTTCCCACTAGAAAACACAAACTTGATATCTGCAATCAGTAAAAGTGGTCCTGTGTTGCATTAGTACTGTGTCTTGATAATGATAGTCAAGGTTAAAGTTGTGAGGCTAAACCATTTGCTCGTATCAGAAGTAATTTATGTAGATCTTACAGATTTATTAGGACTAATATATTATTTTTCCCATGTTTATGATCTAAGCACTGTTTTATGCTAAAAGGCTATTGCTGTAATGCATGGAAAGGCTTTAGGCTACTTTTGGTGTGACTTAAAATACTTGTATGGTACAAAGAAAATGTATGCATCCAAATAAAGTAAAGGGAGATTCAGTCTGAGACTATTCAAGTTGTAAAGTGAATATTTTCAACGTTGCATGCTTAGAGTTGGAACAACATTTTTGAGTCTCTTGGAAATAATTGTTTTGAATTAATGGTATTACAGATTGTTTGCAATCTTGGATGTAATTATAAATTCTAGTTTTGATAGTTTTCTGTAAGGTGTTGCAGTAGTTCAGCAGCGGAATATTTCAGGGATGCTGTGTGCAACTTCAGAAGTTTCTTCCAAAATACTTTTTAAGCTATGGCAAATTTGTTGGTGCTCTTCAGCCTTGACATTTGTTCTTATAAGAGGAATTAAGCTGGATAAAATGAAATAGTGTTTGATGGCCAGATTTTGTGTGGTGATTTGTGTAACTTACTTTCGGTTGTCTTTGGCAGGGTGGAGAAGGAAAAGGCACAGGCAGTTGAACAACAGGCTAAGGTTAGTGAACAGAAGAAGGCAGAGGAGTTCAAGGCCCAATTGGAGGCTCAACTAAAACACCAACGATTGGCTGCCCAGCAGGTGGGGGAGCTACTGGGAGTCCCACCTGTCAGCACAAAGTTTATCCCTAGCTTACACCATTTTTCAAGTCGTTTCCATTTCCTGTGCAAACTAGGCCATCAGACAATGCTGCTCCCACTGTGTGGGTTTGTTATTCTGAAACAAAGTTAAGGCAGAGATTTGTTTTGGATTGGGGCAAGGGGTGGGGAGTGATGTTTCTCAGCCTTTCTTTAAAATGGAAACAGTTTCCAGGTAAGATGTTCCATGGCATAATGGGAAACTTCCTTTTTATATAGCTGACAGGGGAATACAGCTGCATTTGTTCTTCATGCTTCAATCAAACTGATTCTTTTGATTTTATCCTATGTTAAGCTAATTGAAGCCTGTTGATAATTTTATCTGAGTGTATATAGATATGTACATATAGATTTATGTATGTTTATATAACTGTATGCAACTAAAAATTAGGAAACACAATGCCATGTTGTATTTCACATACATTAGTACAAATGGTGCTTTTTTTCCATTTTACTCCTTTTTCATTTCATCTTCCCTGAAGGAAACACATGACTAGTGAATGAGTGTTTCTGATTCATGGGTATTACCACAGTATAATAATAACCAAACACTGAAATTTAATAGTTCCAGTAGCACAGAGAAGGATGTTAGGTTAGTTGGAATTTTAAGAGCTTACAGATACTGCCCCTTCACAAAGTGGCTCTCTAAAGTCAGTGTACCTTCTTGGCAGTTACAGCACAGAAGGTAAGGGATTTTAAACCTCATTCTTTAAGCAAGCTGCAAACCAGTTTATACAGTTAAAAGAATTTTTTTAATTACATTCTTAATGGTGAAATAGAAAGAGTATTTTTTTTTTTCCTGTAACTGGCAGGATCTCAGTGCAGGGGGCTTTAAAGTTAGGAATGCTAGTAGTGAACTGCTTTCATGATGAGGTACTGCTGACAGATGGAGGCTGTATGCACATTGTCAAAGCCAAATATTGATGGATATTTTTCAGGTTTTTAACCTTTCAGATTTATCTGAGACTAAGGGGTTTTTTTAAGTAAAATATGCAGTGAAAATAACGTACAGTGAGGATTTGAAAGATGCTATGAAAGAAAATTCCTGATTGTGTACAGTCTGTAGGGCAAGTCTTGTGCTATAGGGTACTAAAGCAGCTTATTGTTCAATTCTTTACAACTTAAACTAAAATCCTCGCAGAGTCCTTTATTTGTGAACACTAGGAAGAGAAAACATTTCTTTTACAAAACCTGAAAATGCTAATTATGCCATCATGCAATTTTTTTTTTCTAAACTCTGTAGAAACGTCTGGAACAGCAGAAGCAGATACCTGCAGCAGGTGTGGCCCCTGCAGTCACCACAGCCAGCACCACTGCAACTACTGTCTCAACACCACAGAAAGTTGTGGTAGGCCCTTTAGCGGGCCCAGTCCCCACTGGAACCAAAGTAGTACTTACTACAAAAGTGGGTTCTCCAGCTACTGTAACATTCCAACAGAACAAGAATTTCCATCAGACTTTTGCTACTTGGGTTAAACAAGGCCAGTCTTCAACAGGTACGTAGCCATTTGTCATGGGAAGAACATCTGCTGGAGTTCATCCTATGTAGGGCACCTATGTCTTCTCCAAAATATATAGCATTATTACTTCTCTTGTTATCTTTGCTCTTAACTCTTGCTAAGTCACCACGACATTGTGGAGATAATACCTGTCTGATTTTCCTCTGTTCAGACCTCCTCAGTAGTCTTATTTTTGACCTGTCCCACTTATTACTGACAGTTGTTGTACCTGGTAATCATTGATAATGAAAGCATTCTCTGCTGTAACATACTGTTTCCAAAAAAGAATCTTTACCAAAGAAAGTATGACGTGTTCAAAACTGGTCGTAAAAATAATCCTGTAGTTTGCTGTTTCATACTTGAAAATAGTCATTTCATTGACTTAATTATTCTGCTCTAAAACTGACTGTTCTGTGTACCTCAATAGCCACTAGCACAGCTGCCACTTCAGCCACAACCATTGCCAGCACAGGGCAGACCTTCCAGATCTCAGGCAGCCCAGTAACGATGGCAGGGAAAGTGATAACTAAGCTGCCACTCCCTGCAAACAGCAAGATTGTTGCCGTCAATGTGCCATCAACTCAAGGAGGTAGGGGAAAGGGAACTCATGAAAATGTATTCCAGCTTGCTGTTTAATTCTCCATTGACACTATTTTCCCAGTGAAGTAAACTGTGACTTGAAGGGGGAAAAATTTATTTTTTTTATATATATATTTAAGTTTCTACAGCTTGTTCCCCCTGTATTGCATATTTGTGTCTGTAGGGGAAAAATGCAAGTTTTTGCCTGTAAATTATTCTGAATTTCATAGTGCAAAATTAGAAGCTTTATTTTTAACAATGTGGAATGAAGCATGCTTTTTTCCATTATCTAAATTCTAAATCAACAAAACTACTTTCTTCACAAAAAAAAAGCTGCTCCTAGTTATTAATGCCTACATCTGCTCTTCACTGATGAGCAAGAATTCGGCTCCAAACTAAGATTAGCATTTTTTTCCTCTTGCCTTAAAAGAGGACTTAATATTTTGAGGTTTGTGAATGTATGTTGAACAGAAAAGCTCAATTCTCTGTCTCCATTATAATTAGCATGTGAGGAAATCATGAAGGCTACTAGTTTTGTATGAAAATTTCTTAGATGACAGGATAAACAATACCCATTTTCTTCAGCACCACCAGCTTATAGGTGAAAGATGTTGAAAGTGGTCTCCTAAATTTAATCAGATTGTAGCTTTTAATGGTTGTATAATACTAATTTGTGGCACCGTGTCAATGCAAGAACTTACTTGCAATTACCATCAAACTGATCTTTGTGAAGATTCACTCCTTCCTTAATCTTTTCTAAAATACCTGTTTCTTAACTTAAAATGTTGTTGGACTATCAACAAAGTATAATGCTGTTTCTTTTTACAATATGACAGAGGTTCTCCCAAGAAATGTTGAAAGACTCGAAAGATGTACTAGAAACGTGGAGACTGATTTCTAAGTGCCACCCTGGAGTTGGATTTACTTCTTTTGCTTGCAATTATGTTACTAATGAATTCTCATTTTTTTCTTTAATTAGGTGTTGTTCAAGTTCAGCAAAAGGTATTGGGTATCATTCCATCAACAACAGGTGCAAGTCAAACATTTACTTCATTCCAGCCAAGGACAGCAACTGTAACCATTAGGCCAAATACCACAGGGACGTTAGGAACAACAAGCACTTCACAAGTAAGATGTTGTTCTGACTATTTAATGCAAAAAAAAAAAAAGGGGGTGTATATTTTAAGTTATTGGCAGATGTTAAAAGTTTTGTCTAGTCACTTTGTAATGTTTTTGGCTCATCTCAGCAATAGTGTTTATGGATCCTTTATTCCAAGGAAGTAACACAGTTCTCTCCAATTGGAAAAATTAGTAGTTTAGAGCTTGGTAAGCCTTAGTGGTGCAGGTGTAGATTAAAAGATGCTGGATCTGCTCACACCATGTCACTTCTTGCTATGTTAAAAAACCAAACCCAACCAACAACGTGCTGTCCATGTTGGTATATGCAGGTAGTGCAGGGGACTCCTCTCCGCCCCGGTATGACAGTGATACGGACACCGCTCCAGCAGTCAGCCCTGGGGAAGACCATCATTCGAACACCTGTAGTGGTGCAACAAGGTATTCTTCCAGCCAGTAGGTTGACTTTAATATTAAAATCACCAGTGTGAAATCCATGGTTTGTTTCTTCATAAATACTCCCCACACCATACATCCCAATACAGAACACCTCATTTCGATGTTTGACTTCAGTAAGTGCCTTTTCTGGCCTTTTGAATGTGTCACTCTCAGGCTTTGTCAGAGTTGGTCTTCATTGACACTTCTTTCTAAGTCCATTCATTTGAAAACAAACAAGTTCAGCATAACTGTGCATTGAAAAGCCCTTTTTTCTTTAAAGGCAACCTAAGTGTGTGAAGTACTCTGTAAGTACGTGAATTTAATAAAAATAGAAAATATTTTGCTGACATTTTTCGGTCAACCACACAGACAAATGGTTTGTAAAGAAAATCTATGTGCAAACTGCCACATTGGCCTCACTTGCCTGATACCTGCTCTTGCAAGCTGTTGTGACTCCAAGGTTTGCTGTGCTAATGATTAAAACGTTGGAAACGTGTCTCTTACAACAAATTATTCTCTTCCAGGTCAGACACAGCAAGTTGTGACTCAAATAATCAGAGGCCAGCCTGTCTCAACAGCAGTTTCTAGTACCAGCACAGTTTCTTCCAGTGCTGGACAGAAGACTGTCACAAGTCCTGGAACACCACCTCAGCAAGTACCCCCACAAACGCCGTCGCAGCCCACTCGCCCTCAGCAGGGCCAGGTGAAGCTCACGATGGCCCAACTCACCCAGCTAACACAAGGACAGGTAAAACATTTTACAGCCTATGGGCTTGGAAATGGGCTAATGCTTATGACACGTCTTATCAAGCCTTTGGATTTCAGCAGTGTAGTGTATCTGCTCATGAAGTTATGTTTTGGCCTTCGTTTAGGATGACCAATAGCATAATTACAAACTGAAAGGAGCTTAAATGTGTAAGGTTTTTAATATCACGTTCTGTTGTATTCCCCAGTAATGGAGCTAGCATCAGTAAGGCTTAGCAGTAGGGAAGAGTCTTTGCATTAATAGCAGTAAGGGACATAATTATTTTGTATGACCTGTTTTGTAGCCCTTCAGGAAGTAATGTTCATTCCTTGTCTTTTAATTTTGTGTGAAGATGTAGTTTTCATTCATGTTATCCAGAGTCTGAGGAAAAATTAAAATATCTGAAACTGGAGGAGGAAAAAGTTCTTAACAGCTTCTGTTCAGATCATGAAGGTCTGTTGGCAAAATACAAGTTTAGAGTCAAGCACAGGGCAAAAATAGACTTCTGTGAGTTCCTACAATACCTGTTCTTCAAATTATGGATAGCATATGTCAGTGACTGCAGTGTACAGGCTGCTTGTTGCCAGGCAAGATTTTTTGGTGGAATAAAAAATGTAGAACAAGCCTCAGATTTCATTTCCACACCAGAAGACTCAGCAGAATTTTTGTAGGGTCCTTCTCCTGTTCTCTGGGTTCACAAAATGTGGAGTTACTTATCTAGCTGTTGGGACAATATCCTTCCTCCTCCGTCACCAGGTTGAGTGACGTCATGAACTGCCTAAGTCTCAGTTTAAGCAACAGAAATTCACAGTGCATTACAGACTGAACAGCCAGTCATCAAAGCTCACAGTTGGGTAGGATCTGATATGTGGTTAGGAAATGTTTTTTCTGAAGAGAAGTTTTACATGAACCGTTGGTATTCTTGAGAAAGTAATAGTACATCTAAAATTATCCCTGCTCTATATTGCTTGTAAGTTCTAGGAGCAAAGACATTCTACTTTAGCTGCTTTCTGGCTTGGGTTCTTGTCAATATTTGGAGGAAAATGTGTAACTAACTACAATCCAGCAATCTGTTGATGATAGAATTGTTGAAAGAACATTGTAGTGTTTTGTGATCTCAGATGCTAGACTTGGAACTTAGGAGTATGGTATGTGGTAAAAGTATTGAATTTGGAAATCCAAACCCCTGATTCTTCTGATTTTCAGCAAAGTTTATGTAAGAATTGTATCACTAATGCATCAATACTAACTTTTTTTTTTTAGGGTGGCAGTCAAGGATTAACTGTGGTAATTCAGGGACAAGGTCAGACTACTGGTCAGTTACAATTAATCCCTCAGGGTGTGACTGTAATACCTGGTCCAGGACAACAGCTTATGCAAGCAGCTATGCCAAATGGTACAATTCAGAGATTTCTTTTCACCCCACTGCCAGCAGCTGCTACTACAGCTAGCACAACTACAACAACAGTTTCTACTTCAACCTCAGGTAAGCATTGTTCTGTTCAGCAGAAAAAAACTTTTCATTTCAGTTGCACGGGGATTTTTATGCAGTGGAGATGGTCTGTTATTAGAGTAAATTTGTTGGAGGTTTATTATCAACCTAGAAATCTCTTGAATTTCTGCGTGGAGCTTGATGGTAGTTCTAAGAGGTTCGAATGAGTAAGGCTCCTGGATGTGAGACGAATGGCACGTTTGTTCTTCTCCTTCCCAGCTGCAGGGGAACAGAAGCCAGCTGCCCAGGCCCAGCCAGCTCCGGCG